AAACTGACATGAGAAATGATGTAGTGCATTCAGATTCATTCATTCATATTAGGCCAACGAATGAGTTTAGCTCGAATACATATATCTTATTTTTTTGGGGAGGCCTTAATTGCCAACGAACTGATCCAATTTTAGAGGAAAACTATTGGAAAAACAAAACGCACACGATGGCGATCATTTCAGAAGATTCGGCTGCCAAATAGATACAAGTTCCTAGCACATCGAGTAGATACAGATTTGGTTCAGAAACTGAATCATGACTGGGGGCCACACCTCTCCTCCACCTCAGCTGATGTAATAGTTGTATGTACCAGGTACCCAACGGATGTGCTGAAATGTTTTATAAACAATCAAGGAAATGGCAAGGAGAATAAATTGGTAAAATAATGATAGTACCAGGGATTATTTAATATTATTTAAATTAAGAAAATGTAAATGGTATTCTTTACATTAAATTCTGATATCCTTTAGAAAAGTTCCTATAGATTTTTAACTCCATTATACAATATATATTTAAATATATTATTTAAATGCTTTTTATACATGTAAAATCATAATAATATAACTTCCTGTCATCGCTTTTAATTTGTCTTTGTTCAGTTTACTTTGTACTTACACTTATAGCGCGTACTGTCAAACATTTAGGTGCCGAGCTTTATCATTCCAGAACAGAAAGCTAGCCTCTTCTCTGGGGCGATTTCTTGCGTTTCTTTTCGATGGTTTCGAGTTGCGGGAATCGTGGAATAACCACGTTTGTTTAGGCCGCTCACGTTGTCACAGAAACACAGCGGGCAACAAGGGGTTAACACGAATAGGGGAGTGGGGTTGAGGTCTAAGTAAACCGAGGGCCAAAGTATGTTAGAAAGTAAAACGCGCGAAAACAAAATGCCACTATTGATTACTAGAAAAGCACACACACTCTACACACACTCGCGTGAAAAACCGGCGAAGTTAACCGGAGTCTCAGTCTTGTATTTGTTGTGACAGGCTCGCCTGTCTGCACTTGTTGTTGTTGCTGTATCTGTGTTGACAATCCAATTAGCAAGTTAAGATAATGCCATATACCCCTTAAGTTATTCCAAGTATATGGTCAAATGCCCGATGATATGTATGTATAACGTTTAAACCCACATAGAAATTGCTAAAATATCTTTTGGGGGATTTCGTAGCCTCCCCGACAATATATAATTTCGTTTAGAATTTTGGCAAGAAACGCGTGGAAATGCCACCAAAGACCGCTATGGAAAGGCGGAAAAACGCGACCGGAAAACGCGACGCGATACGCGATACGAACGGGAACACAACCAAAGCAGAACTGAATGGCCAACGGCGGAATCAATGGCCAACACATTCTAGCAAAGACCCCTCCTGAGAACAAGAGCTTTCCTCTCACTCGGAAAAGTCGGGAAGAATCGGAAAAATGCCTATGCTATTTTTGCCCACGCCGGAAAACAACTCAAAGAGCCAGACGAAGAAACGTTTGGCTGACCTGAGTGTTTTGTTTACATTCATTTTTTTGTTTTTTTTTTCACTGAAGGCGCGCCGGCGTCCAGCAAATGAAAGTGAAATTCCAAATAGACTGGGGAAATGGAGGAGAAAAGCTGTCTGAATTATAAAGGGAAGGCTAGTAAAAATCTTTATAGATCAAATAAAAATCAGTTGAAATTGTGTCCATTTAATTGTGTCGATTTAAAGTTCAAAAGTATTGAATTTTTGTGCATTTTTTTGACAATGTTAACGACCTTAAAAAATGTTGAAAAATTGGTCAAAAATTACCAAATTTATATCCTCAATATTTTATTATAAATTAATTAAGATTTCATTGATGACACTTCATAATCATTCATTTCATAATCACTTGGCCATTTTATGGCCTAATATTTTTTTTTTTGGAAATCTGTATTTTTTAGTAATATATGAAAATTTGTTAAACAAATTTTAAAAAACAAATAACTAAGCAAAAATGCATTAATTTTAATTCGGAAAGCTGTTCTATGTTAGATTTTATTATGTTAATAAATTTGCATACTCAATTTAGCATTTATTTAAATTTCTAATTTTATCAATTTTTCAATATTTTCAATAATACATTTTAGTGATAAAAAAATTTGGAAAAAATTTAAAAATTTTGCTTAGTGCCTGAGATGGCTAGTTCGATCCTGCTTTTCATGCTGATCAAGAATATATATGAATTATAGGGTCGGAAACGACTCCTTCACTGAGTTTCAAGCTTCTGACTGAAATTATATACATATTATATTTATAAACATTTTTAAGACAATTTTTGTACTAGCCAAATCTTAAGAAACTCATAACTAAGCCAAAAATGAATTAATTTTAATTCGGAGAGCTGTTCTTTGTTGAATTTTATTAGGTTAATAAATCTGCATACTCAATTTAGCATTTATTTAAATTTCTAATTTTATCAATTTTTCAATATTTTCAATAATACATTTTAGTGATAAAAAAATTTGGAAAAAATTTAAAAATTTTGCTTAGTGCCTGAGATGGCTAGTTCGATCCTGCTTTTCATGCTGATCAAGAATATATATGAATTATAGGGTCGGAAACGACTCCTTCACTGAGTTTCAAGCTTCTGACTGAAATTATATACATATTATATTTATAAACATTTTTAAGACAATTTTTTGTACTAGCCAAATCTTAAGAAACTCATAACTAAGCCAAAAATGAATTAATTTTAATTCGGAGAGCTGTTCTTTGTTGAATTTTATTAGGTTAATAAATCTGCATACTCAATTTAGCATTTATTTAAATTTCTAATTTTATCAATTTTTCAATATTTTCAATAATACATTTTAGTGATACAAAAATTTGGAAAAAATTAAAAAATTTTGTTTAGTGCCTGAGATGGCTAGTTCGATTCTGCTTTTCATGCTGATCAAGAATATATATGATTTATAGGGTCGGAAATGACTCCTTCACTGAGTTTCAAGCTTCTGACTGAAATTATATACATATTATATTTATAAACATTTTTAAGACAATTTTTTTTACTAGCCAAATCTTAAGAAACTCATAACTAAGCCAAAAATGCATTAATTTTTATTCGGAGAGCTGTTCTTTGTTGGATTTTATTAGGTTAATAAATCTGCATACTCAATATAGCATTTATTTAAATTTCTAATTTTATCAATTTTTCAATATTTTCAATAATACATTTTAGTGATACAAAAATTTGGAAAAAATTAAAAAATTTTGTTTAGTGCCTGAGATGGCTAGTTCGATTCTGCTTTTCATGCTGATCAAGAATATATATGATTTATAGGGTCGGAAATGACTCCTTCACTGAGTTTCAAGCTTCTGACTGAAATTATATACATATTATATTTATAAACATTTTTAAGACAATTTTTTTTACTAGCCAAATCTTAAGAAACTCATAACTAAGCCAAAAATGCATTAATTTTTATTCGGAGAGCTGTTCTTTGTTGGATTTTATTAGGTTAATAAATCTGCATACTCAATATAGCATTTATTTAAATTTCTAATTTTATCAATTTTTCAATATTTTCAATAATACATTTTAGTGATACAAAAATTTGGAAAAAATTTAAAAATTTTGCTTAGTGCCTGAGATGGCTAGTTCGATCCTGCTTTTCATGCTGATCAAGAATATATATGAATTATAGGGTCGGAAACGACTCCTTCACTGAGTTTCAAGCTTCTGACTGAAATTATATACATATTATATTTATAAACATTTTTAAGACAATTTTTTGTACTAGCCAAATCTTAAGAAACTCATAACTAAGCCAAAAATGAATTAATTTTAATTCGGAGAGCTGTTCTTTGTTAGTTTTTGTTAGATTAACAAATCTGCATATTCCATTTAACATTTAAAATAACTGAAATTTTTATCAATTTTTCAAAAATTTGAATGATACATTTTAGTAACATAAAATATTGAAAAAAATTTTTTAAAAATTTTTACCGTCTTAGAGGTCTAAATCGATTCGGCTATTGATGCTGATCAAGAATATATATGATTTATATGGTCGAAAATGACTCCTTCGCAGCATTTCATGCTTCTGACTAAAATTATAATACCCTTCAAGGGTATAAAACTATATTTTAATGCCACATATTTGTATTAATTTTTTAATATTTTATCAGTAGTAAAATAAATCAACAAATGGTATAAAAGTTCAAAATCTTTCCACCAGAACCTTAAAGACTCCAAAATAATAACTGTACCCTACGTGCAACTTTGTAAATTGACTTGTAACGGTAAAACATCTTTTGACGAGCACACAAACTCACCTTCAAAATACAGCTGGGAATTCCTCCAACTCCTGCCAGTAAACAACAGCTGTTTTTGGGTCTCCTGACTCCTCCAAAATGAATCCTCCTTTGCAGATAAAACTATATTCATATTTTGTCGTTTTTATACACGAAACGCGTTGACTTTTATTTACACGTGACAAACACACGCACACGCACTGCCGAACACAAATACACACGAACGCACAAATAAACAGTTGCATTTGCCGGTTTTGGGGAGCATGTTTTGTTGTTGTTATTGCCGCCGCCAAATAAAATATGGAAATTAAGAATCAAAGCAGATCACTTACCTGTTTCCAATAGCTGAATCTTCTTCCTCTCTCTTAATCGAACCTGAGTAAACTTACTAATTGGCGTTTAACTTAATTATTTATTGGTATCACACAAAGATTTATTTACGCGCCGCGCTTTTTTTTTTTGCCCTGCAAAAACTCAGGGTTTTGTGTGAAAATGCATTGAAGCAAGAAGACGGCGGCGACTAAGCACTATACACATAGAAAAGACACAAACGCGACAGCGAAATTCACTTTAATTATCGTTTTTTTAATTGCTTGACAGAAACTAAAATTTGGCATTTGTTTTATTTACAATCTTATTGGTCACGAGTGTGCCCTTGGCTGCCACAAATCCCTTACCTCCGGCAATACGGCTTGGCTTAATACAGATAAGTATAATTGGTCACACTGCAACAGCTGGTTCTGCAAGTGTTGGAAAACGTCACTTCACCAAAACACATTTTGGTTGCAGTTCAACATTTTGGTTTAAATTAAGTTAAGGAAACCGTTGTTTTCGTTTGATATATACTGCAAAGAGTCTTTGAAATGGCTCGAACCGAGTTGGAGAAAAAGGCTAAGCGCCAAGGAAAGAAACGCAAGCACGAGGCGACTGGAGATGCTGAACATGCGGCCAGTGACGACGAAGTGGCCACCAAATCTTTAATCCTAGAGCCACAGGGAGAGCCATCGGCAACTGTCAATGGTGGGTACAGCTTTCTCCGTAGACTGGAATAATATATCACATAAACTTAATCTAGATAAAGCAACCAAACGGCGACAGCAGGAGGACGACATCCAGACAAACAAGAAACACAGCAAAAAGTCTGCTTCAGAGGAGCACGTTGCTAAAAATGGTGGCGAGAAATCTCCCAAGCAAAAGTCCCACAAGAGAAAACAAGCCCAGGCCGAGACCACAACAGTCCTGGAAAAGCGCAGCAAGCAGGATACCAACTCGGACGATGATGACAACGAGGAGGAAACGCAACCGACTGAAGCCCAACTCCGTGAAGCTGCACGTCCGGAGAACGCCAATGCTGTGGTCACAGTGCGCCAAAAAAAGAAGCAAAAGCACCAGCAGCGTCTTGAAGCCCAACGTAGCCAGAATTCCAACAAGGAGGCCAAAATCAACAAGGAATACCTTGTGAAATGGAAAGAGTCCCGGGATGAGTGGAAATTCATCAAGCTCCGCCAGATCTCCATCCAGCAGACGGCCTTCGATGAGGACAAACTAGAATCAGAGCTGTGGCCGTTAGCTCTCGAGTATTTGGCCAGCTCCCAGGGGGCAGCGCGGGCCAAGATCAGCAAATTAGCCGAGGAGGTGATTCAGGAACTTGACAAAAAGGGTGAGAAGCTGGAGGACGAGACAGAGCGCCAGAAGCTGATCGAGTCCACGCGGTACCAGAGGGCGCGTGATATGCTCCAAAGCTTCGACTAGAGTTATCTGTTATTGTTAAGGTATTTTCTAGAATTTAAATGAAAACCGTAGTTTTTTTTACATTAACATACAAACAACAAAAAGTTTTTGTATATTAAGAGCAAAGTTCAATAGTTCAATTTAATTTTTACCATGTTTCACAGACTTATTACCCTTGACGGTCTTTACAAAAGAATTATGTATAATTGTTTTAATTTTTATTATCCTTTTGATCTGTAAAAAATATATAATATAAAGTTTGCAGTTATAGATATTCACAAATGAAATACTGCTTTTTTAAACAGTTACTATCATTCAACTTTATCCATTTAGGATTCCTGAAATCATCGCAGTGTTCAGCTCGTTCACTATTGCTGGGTTCTCCGGATGCCCACAACTTAGTTGCCACTGACTTCTGACTTGGAAGCCAAACATGTTTCCCCAGTTTCATTAAGTCGTTCCCTGAGGTCCAGAATATAATCTTAGACTAATGTATTACCTCTTCAAAAGTTAGAGAAAATAATATTGTAAAATAAAACTATAATCTTGTTGGGTCGTAAGATTACTCTATTAGTCTATTGTTTAAAACGGTAGTAACGTCATCGCACATAATGCCTGTTCTTCTTTTAAAGGTCACCTATTAATTATACTTATAAATATTTAAAGGTCCACATAGGCCAGAAGCTTGTCCAGGTGATCCACTCGCTGTTGGAGCAGCTGCTGCTCCTCCTCCTTGAGCTTTAACTTGTCCAGTTGCTCTGCTTTAAGAAGGAAATGCTGCAGGAAAAGGCGAACACTCTGTTTAAACTGCTGCAGCTTCGTATTCTTGGCCACGCGTTCGAATGTCTGATAAATTTCTCGTTCATCCGGTGCCAAAAGCAGTCGCACCATTACCTCCTTCATGAAGAAGAAACTCATTTTGTCCAGCTGCATAAAGTCCACCACTTTCAGTACGGAGAGCTGCAATCCTGCGGATAGGATTAATTGCTGAAGAAAGCTGGCCAGATTGCGAATTTGTGGCTTCGATAGCGATTCGATATCATTGATGCGATCCCAACTGGCAAACTGAAAGGCTAGCTGATATTTTCGATTAAACTGGCAGAACTTTAGAGCCAGATGGGCGTAATAAGGATTGGCACGTTTCTCGTTCAGGGCACAATGGATGATGACATAGGCCACCGCTCGCTGATCCTTCAGTGCCAAATGCAGTATCTTCTCAAAGGCATCAACATAATCCGCGGCACTCATTATGATGCAAAAGATATTCTTTCGCTCAGCAGTATTCATCTGTTGCTTTTTGGCCAATTCCAATAGTTTGTCCGCAAAGCCTGCGTTCGAAGTCTTGGAGGAGTTTGTATCTTGCTTTTGTTTGGCAGAACCCATTTCGTTGAGGTTTCCCGTCCAAGCGGAGCCAACAATCCACCACTTGCCGACCTTATCGGCACGCAGGAGATCCTCCAGGGTTATATTCAAGGTAACTACATACCGATCGTTCTTCAACATGGCTTTCAAGCGTTTGCGCAGATTCTCCGCCAGCTCTGGATCATATTGGGGTAACTTTTGCATATTGTTGTTCTTAACAGCATTTAGGATATCAACCATGAAACGCAGGCGGGGATTCTCCTTGAGTTCCAAGGGAGCGGAAGCAATTTGAGCTTGAACTCGCTGCATCATGGTCTTGAAGGCCAATGGATCGTCCTTACGCAAGCGGAAACCAATGGTTTGCAATATCAATAGCAGGCACTCCACACTCTTTTCGCAAAGCTCATCGGATAATCTGCCAATTAGTTCCATCAGCAAACTCAGTTCAAAGATCTTGAACATGTACATGTAACACAGGATTAATATAAGGTTATTCAGCTGCTTGTCCTCCACTTCCAAATTGGCAATATTCTTCACATGACCATCAAAGAGCTCCACAAAAGTCTGCAAGAAGTGTGCACCAATTTCGCTTCCTATTTGGGCATGAAGATAGGCCAATAGAACCATATGTTCTTGTACCATACGCTCGTTGGATCGCGTGGAGCCCAGCAGAGCCTCTTGAAGCAGCTTTGTCAGTGTGTCATTCATGTTGTACCGCGAATTCTTCATATATAGAGCCTCTATGCCAGCTGCAATCTTATGGAGATTCGCCTCGGACAGACGATTGAGCAGACCCTTGCACTGTTTCTGGAGGCGGGCCAGAATCTCGGCTTGCTTTTCACTTGATCCCGCGCTGGCAGCTAACAGAGCTCGCTGATGAGGTGGTATATACTTTTGGCCCGTGGCAGAGGCCTCCTGCTCAACAGGATCGGGCAGGATGTTGCCCTCAGCATCACGTTTGCGACCGTAGATGTCCTCTTTGACTGTGAAACGAAAAATGGGATTAGAGAGTTTGTTTTATGTTGAAAATGACATTACCTTTGGGTTGATCTTCCTCCTGTTCGGATTCCTCTTCGCTTTGTTCTTCAACGCCGCTTAGGTCCTCATCCTCCTCATCATCGTCTTGGGAAGCCTCGCTATCATCGTCGGGTAGATCACCTGCTAAGTCACCATCCTGCTCCTCATCATCTTCGCTCCACATGCCCGCCTCCTCCTTTTCCTGATCCTCCTTCAGCCGCCGCTTCCGCTCCTGTTTCTCCTCCCACTTTTGCTTCTCCTCCTCATCGTCCAGGACAAAGTCCAAGAGGTAATCCAGCCCGTCATTGAACATTTTCCTCACCAAACGATTCTTGTCCTTGCTTTTGTTGAGCTTCAGCTTCTTCTCCAGCTTGGAAATCTCCCGCTCCTCCTCCTCGTTCTCCAGGCGCAGTTGCTTTATTCGTTGCTTCTTGGATTTGCCCTCCAGCTCCTTCTGCTGGCGTAGCTCCTTCTTCCTGACCTCCGCTTCATCCTGTCTGGGTATGGCGCCACCCTTGATCTTTACCTTCTTTCCCAGCGGTTCATAGATCTCAACCTTGGCCTTTTGGGCATCAGTGCGTCCACCTCTTCATCGCTGAAGTCCGAGGCTATGGATTCGTCATCATCGGATCCTATTTCCCCGGATAAAAGCTGCTCCTTGGGTATATCCTCGGGATTTATTTTTGGTTTTTTCGTCTTTTTCTTCTTCTTGTTTTTGCCTTGTAGGGACTGTGCTGCCAGCGCCTCGGCCGCCGCTACCACGCGCTGTGTTCCATTACTTTTGCCGGCGTGGTAAAGACGTTTATTTTCCTTTTTCGCTTCGGTTTTCAGTTTCCTTTGTTCCTTGCGTGTTAAAGGCTTTTTATGAGCCTCTTTTTTCTTTATTTTAGTCATTTTCAAGCGGATACGAAAGATTTCATTTAATTTTAAGAATTGTTGTCGTAGTCTAAATCAGCTGTTCGCGGTTAAGACAAGTGTTGGTCAACTCCACGTGCAAGTGTTTCATGGGCTTCCTGAAAAATATCAAAAGGGATTTTTAGAGTACAGAAATGAGGAATTAAGAAAAACCTAATAAAACAATAATTCATAATTTTTTCATTCTTTTTTAAACCTGATTTTATATATTAATTATGTCATTTTAATAATACAAATCGATTGGGGTTCCACTTTCCCCGAACCCCCTCTGCGACACCTGTGCTTCACCTAAATCTTTGGCCTTTTTTAGTGCATTTTGTGAACGCACAAATTTAATTTATTTTCTAGAATCTTAAATAAAAACCCAGAATATCTGTGTCGCCATGTCCACGAGATGGTATCCCATCTACCAGCGCGGCAACCCGCAGCTGCGTGTCTTCCTGCCCAACTTCTGGATGAAGCTAATCCGGCCGGCGGAGGAGCAGCCGCCAAATGTGGTCACGTTCTCGGTTTCGATGGAGATGACCAAGTATGATGTACGAAACTACCTGGAGAAGATCTACAAGCTGCCGGTGGTGGATGTGCGCACTAGAATTGCATTGGGAGACACCAAAAGGGATCAGACCTACGGCTATGTAACCAAGAAAGATGATGTGAAGCTGGCTTATGTAACACTGGTAAACATGGAATTTTGGAGGCTTTTACAGAATATTTATTAATGTTTCCTTACTGCAGCCCAGGGAGCAGTCCTTCGTGTTCCCAGAAATGTTCGCCGAAAAGGCGGAAAAACAGGCTAAGGAGGAGAAATCACTGGATGAGTCCAAGGAGGGCTTCAAGCGATTCCTCGATCGCAATAAGAAGAGACCCGGCACACCCGGCTGGTTTTCAATTTAGATTTTATAACTGTTTAGCTTAGGTGGTTTTCTGTTGTTTCAACGGGGTAAATAAACATTTATTTTGAAAGTCCGAATTAACTTAAAGCTTGGCTTCATCTCCGCGGGGAAACTCCTCAAGAGAAATCCCTTACTTCTTCGTCTGCTTGACGGCAGCGGCGACCCAAGCGCGAATTTTGTCCTCATCCTGAAGGCCCACCATGCGCTGCACTTCCTTGCCGTTCTGCATCACCACCAGGACTGGAACGGCGGCCACATCGTAGTCCAGAGCCAGTTCGCTATGCTCATCTATGTCAACTTTGGCCAATTTGATGGATCCAGCCTGTTCGCCCACAATATTCTCGATCCGCGGCGTCAGCAGCTTGCAGGGATTGCACCAGCTGGGGGTTTGCATTATTTTTAATAATTAATTCTGTTCGAGAAGCTAATACTATACGTACGTAGCGAAAAAGTCCACAATCACGGGCTGCTGGCTGTTCTTAACTTTCTTGTCGAAGTCCTCGGCGCTCTGCACTTTGAAGATCTCCCGACGCTGTGCGGTAACTGACAACGGCCGCATCTGCTGGCCATTTCCCAGACGGCGAGTCAGAATGTTAATAATTTGTCGCTGCATCATTAGTTTGTTGCTATTTGTGGTGCTAAACGTAATGGGACTTTGTTTTTATTGCAGAATAAAGAGAATGCCGGTGTGGCCAGACTGTGATGTCAGAGAAAGGTGTGGACACACTGCTGCATAAGTGTTGCTGCTTTTGTGATTCGTTTTCAGTTATTTGTATAAATTTTTACAAAAATCAATATATAAGTTCCCTTGGATATTATTTATTACTTCTCTGATTTCAGTGTCTTACTGATTTTTAAGTTTTTTTTTTTGTTTTGTGTGTTTTTATTCGTGTTCTTAAGGCAGATAAACTAGCGAACATTTAGTAAAATCGCTTGTTTCTGTTATCTGCTTCGAATCAGTGAGCATCTCTGGTAGCTAGATTTCACCACTTGCACACGGTGTGCACACACTGAACCGTGGTGGCTGCCTCTTGCATATTTTTGTTTTCTCGTAATAATATCAAAGTTCTTGGTTACAAATTAAAATTAAAAATAGTTAGACCCTGCAATACGTAATCGAAGGTGTTAATTGGACCAGTAACGAGGGCACCCAAACCCGGATAGTGGGCGATAGAGGGGTCCAATTAACGACATTGCCCAGCGAACTGCGCAAATGCCCGATGGCACCACACTCGACATTCGCCAGGCTGCAAATTAAGGAATAAATCAAGGAAGGACGCACAGGAGGACGCAGGATGGATGACCTGTCGCAGGGCGACATCTGTCGCGTGTGCCGCTGCGAGGCGCAGCCGGACAGGCCGCTCTTCTATCCGTGCATCTGCACGGGATCCATTAAGTACATTCACCAGGATTGCCTGATGCAATGGATGCGCTACTCGCACAAGGAATACTGCGAGCTATGCGGCTACCGCTTCAGCTTCCAGCCCATCTATGCCCCGGACATGCCCCGTGTCTTGCCGCTCAAGGACGTGCTGGTGGGACTGATGTCGGCCGTTCTGGAGGGCGCTCGCTGCTGGCTCCACTATTCGCTGGTGGGCATGGCCTGGTTCGGAGTGGTCCCGTTGTCGGCCTACCGCACCTACCGTTACCTGTTCCGGGCCAGCTCTTTTGACATGATCCTTACGCTGCCGTTCGACATTTTCTCGATGGAAAACCTAGCATCGGATGCCTTTCGCGGCTGTTTTGTCGTAACCTGCACACTGCTATCGTTCATAGGACTGGTATGGCTGCGCGAGCAGATACTCCATGGCGGCGGTCCCGATTGGCTGGAACGGGATGATGCACCCCTGCAGGCTGCCGCCCCGGCAGCTCCGGCTCCAGCGCAGGCACCAGAGGCCGCTGCTGCGGAACCACAGGATGACAACAACAATGGGGATGCGCCGCAGGATGTGCCGCCCATGGATAATGAGGCGCCAGCTCCAGCTGCCGCACCAGCTGTGGCCGCTGCTGCAGTGGACGCCGACGCTGATGAACAGAACTGGAACCCCATGGAATGGGATCGTGCTGCCGAGGAGCTGACCTGGGAACGCCTTCTGGGACTGGACGGCTCGCTCGTTTTTCTCGAGCATGTCTTCTGGATCATCTCACTGAACACCATGTTTATTTTCACGTTCGCCTTTTGCCCCTATTGCGTGGGCAACTTCATACTGAGCTCGATGGATCTGCTGCAACCGGAGAAGCCCCTGCTGCACTTTCACGGCCTAATCACGACGCTCTTTGGATACTGCTGCATCGGACTGACACTGGTGGTGCTACACTTCTTCGCCCGAGTGTTCCGCCTGAGACGCGTTTGCTGGTTCATCGGACTGTGCTATATTGTGGTGAAGGTCTCGCTGCTGTCCGTGGTGGAAATTGGCGTGCTGCCATTGATCTGCGGCTGGTGGCTGGACATTTGTTCGTTGCCCTTGTTGGATGCCAGTCTAAAGGATCGCAAGGCGAGCTTCAAGGCGGCACCTGGCACCTCACTCTTCGTTCACTGGATGTTTGGCATGGTCTATGTGTATTATTTTGCCGCCTTTATATCGCTGCTACGAGAGGTTCTGCGACCGGGCGTTCTCTGGATATTCCGGAATGTAAATGATCCAGACTTTAGTCCGATTCAGGAGATGATCCACGTACCGATTGTGCGGCACATTCGACGCTTAGTTGCCTCGGCCATGATCTTTGGCTTTGCGGTGCTGCTCATGCTTTGGCTGCCCATTCGAATTCTACAGTTTGCCTGGCCAAATTTCTTGCCCTATGCCTTGAGTGGCGATGCGGAGGTCAATGATTTGAGTCTTCAGTTGCTTCTCTTGCAGGTGAGTTTGTTTGGAGTGAAGTCTTCAAGAATATTCAAATTTAATCTTCTTTATTTCAATTATTTCAGGTCGTCTTGCCCGGCTTCTTTGAACAAATCCAGACGCGCATTTGGCTTAAGGGACTACTACGTATTTGGTGCACTGCCGTGGCCTGGCTTCTTGGCATTCGTAGCTATTTGCTGCCAGCTCCTGAGCCAGAGAATCCCACAGCCGCCGAGGAGGAGGGAGTTGATGCCGCCGCCGCCGCCGCTGCGGAGAATGCCAACGAGGGCGATGCCGAGGGTGAGGGAGTTGCTGCTGCTGCACCACCGCCACCACCACCACCACCTCCGCCGCCAGTAGAACCAGCGCCAGCGCCACGAAATCTTGCCGCCGCTCATCAGGCCATAATGCAGCGCGATGCGCCCGTTGGTTTCCAGCCTTACGACAAGCCTTCGCTGTTTGCCATTCGACTGTGCGCCTTGCTGCTTCTCATGTGTCTCTCCATTGTGTGTGCTGCCATGTTGACCCTCACAGTACCCGTGTACATTGGCCGGCGGTTGATGCTGCTGTGGACAGGTAATCCCGCGGATAAGGTGGCTGCAGGAGCGGCAGTTGCTGGTGGCGCAGGAGCAGCCGGTGTGGCTGGAAATCTGGCAGCTGTGGATCCGGAGGCTGCAAGGAAAAACGAACGATTGCTGCGTTCGCATGAGCTATACACCGCCGAAATTGGTGGCTACCTTTGCTGGATTATATTTCGCGGAGTTGCTGTGGTGGTCACCCTGTTGCCGCAAGGACGAGCGGCCATTATCACGAAGCTAAAGGATTGGGCGCGCGTGGCATTGCAATATGCCTTGCCTGTTTTAACTCTACTCGGAATCTTCGTGCTGGTTCCTTTGCTGTTTGGCCTGCTGCTGGAGTTGGTCGTGGTGATACCTTTAAGGGTCCCCTTACGCAAGACACCCATACACTTCCTATGGCAGGATTGGGCACTGGGAGTGCTCTACAGCAAGATTGCTATTGCCATGACCCTAATGGGTCCCGATTGGCATCTGAAGCGTTCCCTGGAGCGGGCGTATATGGATGGATTGCGCGATTTTGATTTGAAGTTTGTGATGCGCGACTTGGCTGTTCCGGTAGTTACTACCTTTGGCCTAGCCTTGGCAGCGCCCTATGTCCTGGCGCACATGATGTTCCCAATTTTCATCACCGACCCCTATGCGCGGCATGTTGTCGCCCGGATGGTGTATCCTGTTAGCTTTATTGTCGTGGGCAGCATATGCTTCGTCTTGTTCCAGATCAAGCAGCTGAAGAAGCTCTATCTATCGATCAAGGTGGATAAGTATTTGGTTGGCCAGCGGCTGGTCAACTATGAGCACCGCAAGAAGCAGCAGCAACAGCAGCAGCAGCAGGCGGAGGAGGAGGAGCAACAGAGGGCCGCCAGGGAGCTGAAGGAGCACCAGGACAGGGAGCGGGATAGGGAACGGGAAAGGGAGGAGCTGGCACGTGAACCGGAACTGGCACAGCTTCTGTAACGAGATCAGGTGCGATGGGTTTCATATACATATATATTTGTTAAATTTTAAAGTGGAATATAAAGTAGTACTTTCAATAATTGCATATATAATTGTTTTTTAGTTTATTATTATTATCAAAACATTTAACTTATATAAGAACGTTATTTTCTATTTATAGATATATATATTCCACGAGAAGCTATTGAACTGCGAGTGGAGCTGCATTAGTTGCTGGATATACATATAATATATCTCTGTTTAGTCCATGCGATTCTTTCGGAAAAGTTTTACGTGTGAAAAATATGAAACAAGATTTTGGCCTCTGCTTCGGCTCCTTTTCCACACACAGCCTTTAGTTTACTTTTTCGTTATTATGATTAATAATCTGTTAGTAAAAATTGTTGTTAAAAACATGTATCGCTAATAAGTCCTAAGTTGTATAATATTTTAAGACAGCCGCTGCGCCAAACCTCCCCTTAACCCTTAAGCCCACAGAGTTCACATAAATATCTTATTAATGTAATTGACAAAAGCGTATAAAACCTTGTATTAGAGTCATATGCAAAAGAGAAAAAATAACAAAAAAATCTACATTTTAGAATGATTAACAACCGAGGAAAATTCAAAATATAAAACCCCAAAATTCAACATGGTGGAAGTGGTGAAAAAGAAATCTTAAGGATAGTGAAGACATTTTCGAGCTAGCTTTATGAACTGTAAAAAATTATATATGTATACATTATAAATATAACTGATTTAAAATTAATTAATAAATTTAACTTTAAACTTCAAACTGGAATGAAAATCAAGAGTTTTGTATTTAAAAATAAGGAGGAATGTAGGTATTACTTCAACTTTCTTATTAATTCTTATTATTATTTAATTATGCTTCTTTAAACATATAAAACCGATTGCCAAAAGATTATTGTGATCCATTTAACCATTTCTCAGATTTTTGTTATTTTTTTGTGCGCCGCCAAGTCAAAAGGCATAAGAAATATAAACGCACAATTAATCAACGTCCAAACATATTAAATGAAGCACCATATAATACAAACAAGTGGTGGTATCCACTGGATGAGAGGTGCACTCAAGTGAGCTAATCATTGAATTTGTTGTTCTCAGCTGTGAGGAGCGATGTCAATCATACGCCCTGTGTGCCAGCAGCAATTGACAGACACACGAGTCTCTCCCTCCTTTCGTGTGTATGTATGAGGAATGACCAGTAAATAGTTAAGACTGAAGATTGAAGGGAATGTCAGGATGTTTTTCCCCAAAATGCCTAACCGAAAAACAAAAAAAAAAATAAATAAATAAAATAGCTAAAAAGTTAGCTCCAATTTTCCGTTGTTGGCTTTTCCCCCCCTGTAAAAAAAAATGAAGAAAACTTTGGACTTTATTGTGAATTTGTTGCTGCTGCGACTGCGACAACGACACAAATAGAAAAGTTGGCAATGTTTGTAACTTAAATTGTTTTGTGGTTTGACATGGCCACGACTGTTTCGACCGAAAGCAAAGTGGCTTATGTGCCGTGGCTATTAAAATGTGTGGCAGGTCCTCTCATCCCATTGCCCAGGACTTTACCAAATTAAACACTTACCAAAGTTGGCACAGGGGCTTGGGAGAAAGAGAGATAAACAAATAATAAAATGAAATCAAATAATTTGCATTATGTCAAAGTTGAAAGTTGCTGAAACATTTTACTTTCCAGCGCGTGCTTAAGTAGAGGGCAAAACCAAAATGGAAACAAATGGACGTAGGAGGCAATGGCGGTGGTTCGCCATTTATATAAAGTTGACAAAACTTTGGCGCGTGTTGGAGTGACCCAAGACCGGGATAGTGGCATCCATCTAAGTGATTTTTAACTCCCACACCTCCAATGGCAAAAGGTTTACATTTTGCGGTTCAATAAACCAAAATGTTAAAGTCTCTTACAACTGGAATAAATTTTAATTAATCTATCTAGTTGGCATTTAATAAATATACTTGATACACTAAAAATAAAAAGGGAATACGTAAAGTATAACCTTGCAAGGGTATTATAATTTCAGTCAGAAGCTTGTATTTATGCGAAGGAATCATTTCCGACCCTATAAATCATATATATTCTTGATCAGCGTCACTATCCGAATCGATCTAGACACCTCCGGTCAAAATAAAAAATGTTACAATTTTTTCCAAATTTTATGTCGTTATTTTTACATCTTTAAAAATTTTACAAAATTGATAAATTTTGAAATTTTTTAAATTTTCAAATTGAGTAAGCAGATTTATTAATCTGATAAAAACTAACATAGGAAAGCTTTCCGATTTGAAATTAATGCATTTTTGGCTTAGTTATCCATATTTTAAAAATTGATATTTCGAAAAAATGCTTATATAAAATATCGATTAATATCGAATATTTAAACCTAATCCCGATAGATTTCCGATTCGATTCTATAATTCAACTGCAAATTAGTTTCCTTTCTTGTTTTTAAAGTAGAATCGGTTAAGAAAGATTTAGTTTAGTTCCTTATATTCATATAAATAATTACCATTATTTCTAATTAATTTTAAAAGCCTTAATTTCTTTCATTGCAATGTGTGTTAGACTCTCTCAAGTATTTACCTTCGTAAATCAATAATCTAGTTTTCTGCCTGTCATTGAGGACACACACACAGACGCACAAAAATAAAATCCCACATAATTCAAAATGTCCTTTCTAGTCAAAGACAAGGATCAACAATGCAGTTTTATGGCTCTATCAAAAGACTATAAAAATATATGTTACAAGTTGATGGCATTCCTGGTCAAGTCTAAGCGGATTTCAGGCTTAAAGTTGTTCCCAAAACATACATTAATGTTCTTTTTTCTGGGGGGAGGCCAAAAATTCTTAAAGGACCACAGTAAATGCCACAAAATGTCAGCAGCCAGACAAATAAAGTTTTTCCAAAATGTTCAATGACGCTGGGCAAAAACGCAAAAACAAAATACATACACAATACACTTGCTACTGATGATGGTCTTGCTGTCTATCAATTTATTTAGAATTTCATTTGAATAATTAAACCGTCTCGCTTTCATCCATCCATCCACGCATTTCACTTCACGCTGACCGCCTCCATTTGGGTAAAATATTTAATTACTTTTAATAATGCAAACAGTAAATGTCGAGCTGCGGCTAATTTGTATTGTGGCCGCGCTTTATGTGTGTTTTGTAAATTGCATTACTGATTTTAATTATCATTCATTACGAATTTTGCACTCAGATATTTGTTGAAAATTCTAAATTACCACTCAGCCAGCATGTTATAAAATATTTTATTTCCTTACTGCCAGCGATGCGGTAATAAAAGCTAATCTAAAAAATTGAATGAAAAATATACATATGTATGCAAATTGAGAAAGATGTCAGCAACTTTTGTCAACAACACAGGGGTGTGGGGGTACATTCTTTATGTGTAACCCACTTTTCTTCATCTTGAACTTTGCTTCCTTGTTGGAAAATTAACAACTTCATATGTCAGCTCAGATAACTTCCATACTCCTTGGCTAAACAGTCGAGGGTGAGTTAATAGCACTGGGAATTAGGGGATAAAATAAAAAGTACTCTTCATGCAGAAGCATATAAAATAGTTGGGGAAAAGTAAATGTATCAGTATTGGGGTTTTAAAATACTATAGGTTTTAAAAAGAAATGGAAATCTTTTATTTAAAAACAATCTTTAAACCCTAGAGCTATTTTTATGACTTGTACTGTACGTACTTATATAGATGTCACTGTTTTTTTTTGTTTTGTTTTTTGTTTCGTGTGAAGCCGGCTTTACTCGGCTTTATCATTTGTCGCGCATTACGGGGCGTATGCGTAATGTGCCAAGGCAAGGGCTTTAAGCGGAGCTCATTTGCATGAATTGTTCCGCAGTTTGTTATTGTTATTGTTACTGGTAGCTGGTTGCTTCCGCTTGAGGCTCTTATCAAGCATAACCAACACTTCATAAATTGTCTAAAATTAGCCATAAAACAAAGCAAACAACCGTGGCTGTTGCTGTTGTTGCAACAATCTCAAGAGTGTAGCAACCTGTCCCGTCGTTACCACCACCGCCTTCGCCCAGAGTCGACCCTAAGCTCGTTATGCTTTATTATGGCCCTGCACCCTTGACACCGAATCTACCCAACCCCCCATCCAGTCATGGCAACTATATGGGATATATATCCGGTGTGAGAAGCGAAATATGTCTGCTCTGTGCTGTGTCCCCGGTTGCCATACTCTTGGCCACTGAAGTGGCCTTTTGATTTCCGTTGCCATAATTTATTATTTTGCCCAACGCAAAAATAAAATAATTTGTATAAAAGCATTGCCCAGGGAACACACAAATAGGGGGGCGGGGCGGGGGTGCTGAATCCTAAAAAAACCCTAAAATAGTTAACCACAGAAGAGTGTGAAAACAAAACAATAAAACAGAAAAGGATAAGCTAGGACACCTGCTGGATTCCCTAGAACAGGTGATACTCCTTTTTCACGGAATTACAATTTTGGGAAATTAAATCAAGCAAGGTTTTTGTGAAAATGAAAGAAAATTAATCTGAATATATATCTTCTTAAGAAAATTATTTAAATGGGGTTTGAAGTCTTGAAATGTAGCTGGTTTTAAGTGAAAAGATCTGCTTAATATTAAAATAAACTAATTAAATAAGTGTTATGTTTTAAGTTAATAATATTTCAAAAATCAACATTAGGGACAGTTTTAACAAATTTATAAATAAAGAAAGAAGTGTTTAATTTTAATAAACCATTAAATTTAGTCTAAGTAATATATATTATTATGTAGAAATTTATTGTAAATACTTAACTTTAAGAAACAATAAAGTAAAAACCCAAAAACATATAATATTTTATATAAATCTATTTGCAATACTTTTCTTTGGGCTTTGCACTTACAAAACACTGTTTTTCTATGAATTCCAATTAAGGAAATGTTAATGAGTTATTAAACCTTAAACAACTTAGTTTGGTTCGGGAAGTTGTAAGAACAAACTTCCCAAAACATTAACAAATCTATTGCCTTTTTAGATATACCCAAAAAATAAAAGTGAGCAGGATAAAAGGTGTTCAGCTTTGCCTTGCCGGATAAACAAAAAACTTCCGCTGCCCGAAGAGGAGAGTCCTGTGAGCCTGAATACCCCAGCGTATTTATTTACTTTTTTGGGCTTTCGGGCAAAACCACAACAATAGACGAGGAAACCCAACCCTGTTCTTCACACTTTAAAGATGTATTTAAGTATGTATACAAAAAAAATCCCAGTGTGCATTTGACTTTGTTTTCTTCACGACTTTTCCGGGGTTAAAGTTTGAAGTTCGGGGTGTTACTTTTTATGGCCTGCAGCAGCCGTTGGCAGCGTCTGATTGAGCGTGAAGTTGTAAAACTTAAGGAGTGCTAAGTGCCTCTTGTCCTGGACTGCCGCTCCTCACCGGATTATGGCCAATAAAGCACGCATGTCGGCGCCAGGATCTAAGGACTCTAGGACAAAAAAAAAGAGAAGGGAAAAAAAATTAAATACGCCCCGGCTGTGGTGGTTTCCTAGATGGGACATTAAGAAGGTGTGCTCTCTGTGGACAGTGTTGGTTTAGATTTACGAGTTGGTTGGGCCGCCGGAAGTGTGGTCAACGGGATGGAGAGATTAACCCGACTTACCAACCACTTGTTCCGGGATGTCCTTGTAAACCCATTTCTTTAGTTGGCCATAATTTAAGGCGGTTTAATGGATGGAATGGGGGAAAAGGGACCAAAAAACCGCAGTTCATAATTTTATTTCTTTGCAGGAAGTCCCATTTTAAGATGACACTTGTCCCTTTCTTAATGTTTAATTAAAACATTATCTCATTAGGAAATATGGCAATAAAGGTAATACAAAACTTGAAGGAAAAATAAGTAGATTTAATGGAATTTTCACATTTTTAAAGAATAAATGTGTATATATTAATTCCTTTATATAAGCTTTAATTGGTCTAATTATATATAATGTAAAATTTAAATATGTTACTATACTTGAGCTTCAATAAAGCGCATAAATATCTATATTTTTGTCATAGAACTAAATTGAATTAAATAATTAAATAATTAGATTACAATAACCTTTGCTGTTAATTTGTTAAATGATAAAATCTATTTAATTATAAACAAAATTCAATTTAAAATGTCTCTTTTCTTACTTCAATTAAGCTTCATGAAATGTAACACAGAATATATATCAATAACAAAGAATATATATATCAATTCCAAATTTATTATGAACCCCAAATCACTCTTTTCGCTTGTGAGTAATTTTTTGTGAAAGGCAAAAATACTGAGCTTGCTCATATATTTCAATAAAAATCCCATAGATGTCCCAAATAAAATAAAACTAAGTCATCGAAAGAACATCTGCTGGCTATGGTCAACAGAAAACTTATTTATCATATCCTTTTTTTATGCATCTATACTTTCTGCTCAATTCCGAACTTGACTTATTTTATTTTTTTTGTGGCAATCAAATGAAGCTGCATAAGCATCGTATATAAATTCAATATGTAAATTGATGAAAATAAAAATAGATATGCAATAAATACGAAAGCCATATAGCCAGCCAGCAGCAACAAATAAGTAAAAATGCAGTCGAAATTATTTGCAAATTGAGAAAAGGGCGAGGATTCCAGATGTTTTTTTTTTCTGTGGTTGTTATTATTGCGACTGGGTCACGCATTTATTATATGATTTTCTTCTGAGCTTTTTTTTTGGTTCATGGACAAAGCGACGCCTCTGGAAGCCATAAAATTTACGCACATATATCCATCGAATAGTCTGGCGTCTGGATGTAACCTTACTTTTTATGCAAAACGAATCAAAATCCAATTATAAACCGAACGCGTGTGTGTGTACCGGCAAGTGTTAGGTGGGTGGTGGAGGGAGGACTCCAAAGGACATCCAACTGCAAGTACAACAATTATGCCAACAAGAGGACTGCGGTCAGGCGGGGTGGTAATGAAAAATTCAATTTTGGTAAACAAAAGACGCGAACGAAAGCGCGATTTAATATACAAACGAGCATATGTGCGTGAAAGTGCATCTATACGCATGAGGTGTACAGTGAGAGAAATAGAGTGTATAATTAATATTATATATTATATGAGTACTATTTACTATTTTCGTTTACTTTATAAAGGTAAATGTTAAAGAACTGTTGAATATCTAAATGGTTTTTGATTTCAAGTTTATTAAAGTCAGTGTATTAGAACTTTTAAATATCTGTGATGATTTACAATGGAAATATTTATCTTTTTAGGCACCTTTCGTAGAGTTCTTATATTACTAATACAATCTTTTTTTATTATTTCCTTAAAAGAATATGAAATTCCTGTGTAATTGATGACAAATGGCGGAATACCAAATTTCATTGCCTACTTTTTTGGGCGACTTTTATATTACTATAGAAATTAGGTTCAAAATAAAGGTTACATCTTTGTAATTCATTACAATTTTCAATTACAATTTACATTTTCTGTAATATTGATTTCTGTTTAAATAATCTACATTTTTTTTGTCGTGTAAATTGACGCCGTACATATGCGTTCCTGTGGCTCTAGTTCTTTAGTTTGGTTCCTCCGTTCCAAAACTCATTTGCATATTTTACGAATGAATGAAAAGTTTGCCATGGTGTTTTGTACCCAAAGCGGCCACTTGATGACCATAAAATTTCAACAGTGAGCAATACGTTTTTTAAGTGGAAATTAATGTTAATAAATAAAATGCACTATTTAGGATACCACTGAATATATGGCGAATGTATATAATAGGAAAATAAATATGTAAACATATACAATTAAGCTTTCTACATTCTTGGCGTTTTTTTTCTCTATATCTGAATCCAAGATAATAATAAAATAAAAAGGAAAAATGTATTACTAAGTGATTATAATATAGTACAAATAAAAATGAAAAAATATTTTATAAATCCCCTAGATGCTTAGCTCCAGGCCAATTTAAGATCGAAGACCACCTCAGCAGCGAGCAGGTAGAGTGAGCATACCATCAAGGTAAAGATCATAACGGGAAATCCCATGTAGAAGAAATCCATAAAGGTTATGTCATAGCCATGCTCTTTGGCGACCACCGCCACAAATTCATTGGAGAGGGATCCCAGCAATGTGCCCATGCCACCGTAGTTTGATCCAAGCAAAAGGGCCCAGACGAGTGACATTAATGGCAAAATTGTATCCTCGCTGTGTTCAACCTCAATGCAAACTTTTAAAAGAACGGCCGCTACCGCCGTGTTGTCCAGAAAGGCGGAGAAGACTGCTGACGTCCATAAAATGATCAGCATTGAAGATATAGTCTGTTGACTATATTCTACACCCAATACTGCTGTCGTTGTCAACTGACCCAGCCAGGTGATGAAGCCCAGGTGAACAATAACCTCGGTTATAATGAACAAGCTGCTCACATAAAGCAAAATGCCCCATTCGATTCTAGCCAGAACTGGAGAGATATTGGGCTGGTTCGCCAGGATGAGGAGCAGAAGAGCGCCCAGCATTGTGATCCAAGCGAAAGATGCATTCGGAATTGTAATGGGCATTGATCTCAGGACGAAGCCAGCGAAGATGAAAAGAAAGGCGACGCCGATATGTGCCAGCAGGGTAAAGTTCATGGGCGGTTGATTTGCCTCCACGGTGGCCAGGATTTCATAGTAATCGGGAACCGGTCTAAGCCAGGTCCTCCGCTTTCTCAGCTCATCCATGCGATGCAGGATCTCCTCCGTGGGCTGCTTCATGGCGCGCCTCCTTTCAAGCTGGTTTTCTTGCACCTTATAAATTCGATTACCCACCGAAAAGAAGAGCAGGATATAGACCGATAACATACACATCACCGATGCCGGCAGCATGTGTGCCGTGAATAATGTAAAATTGATTGATTGTTCCCTTGACATATGATTGATTATGAGTATGTTTGCTGCCGATCCCACCGGTGTCATAGATCCTCCAATATGCGCATATATGGCCAAAATGAGGAGTACGATTTTGGTATTAAGAAATGCGGCCTCACATACCCTTATGCATGCAGGTGCCAGTAGCATGACGACAGTGGCATTATCCAGAATTGCGGCAAAAATGGCTGCGATCATGGACAATAGGTAGATCAATAGCCATGCATGCCCCTTCGACGTCCTGTAGGCCACCAGTGTAACAAAGTCAAAGAATCCCGTTTCCCACATCAAAGCCACCATTATCATACTGCCCAGTAGTACCATCAAGGTGCTAAAATCTATCCAACTGGCGACCATCTCAAATGTGGGCCTAAGTCCAATACAGGACATCAGAGTCAATGCACCAATGGAAATGAGCACAGCGCCAAAGCGTCGATCTATATACTCCGAGATGACCAATGCATACAGGGAGACGATCAGTATAAAGGTATATACCAAACCCATTTTGGGTTGCTCTGGTGAATTATGTAAGACTACATGGAATCCCACAGGAAAGTCACACTTGCTCTCAAACGAAATCACCGATCTTGCACTTCCCCACTCTCCAGCGGAAATTGGTTCGCTTTCGGGATATCCATATGGTACGTCCAATGGAGAGACCTGGGATTACAGAGGGATAATATAATATAATAGTAATAATATCGGATACTTTAACACCAAAGTTCAGCATACATCCATATATCAGACTTTGGTTTTGTTAAAACATCGATAGAACTTTACTATTCTTCAGCTAAGTTAATGGAAGTATGATATAAATTTCGATATATGGATATTATTGACTTTTTCAAATGAATTACCTTTAATATCGTTGTCACTTCCGAGAACTCGGCTTCATTTAACGACACATACACCTTCCATACTTCTGAGCGGACAAAGATCCTTTCAAGTGTAGAATCACGCCACTCAACTCGAACATCAATGGAGGGTGAATTCTTAACAAGCATTTTGTCTGTATAATGCTTGTTTATGGGTCCTCTAAGATCAATGGTGACGATTTCATTCGGTAGATGTAAATTCTTAAATATGGTTGTGTTTGGCATCGATACGACCATCCGCTCCTTCGACTCCACATCTCTGGTAACAAATGAAATGACAGCGGCGAAAGCCCAAAGTAATATCAGGAAAGACGTCCGGAAAATTGAATAGAGATTAGTACTCTGGGTTTCCGGGCTAACGCTAACCTCTGCATTCATTATTTAAATGTTTTTTGAAATTTTTTCCTTACACTTGAAAACATTACGAGCTATTTACTGGGTATTTTTTCTTTGCACGATATGTCAAGTGCTACTGTGTGTTGGGTTTCTAATGAGTATCTTTTCGGGAATATTATTAAAGCATATTTAAAACCTTAACTATAATTATATAGAAAGGATTATAGAGCTAAGAAAATTCCATTAATATCATGATTTGCTCTTATGGCGGTCAACCAACTTTAATGCATTCCTCTAAACCTCAAGTCAAAGTCGAGATTCTCGATTCCTTTGGCAAAATGGAAAATGGAAATTCTCTGAATTTTCCAAGGCAAAAACTTGTGGCAACAGCTGTTGACCGCTCAACTTTGCCTATGATATGTGGTCTGGACTAACCTAATAAGAGCCAGAACTCAAGGCCAGAGAACATTCCAATTTCAGACAGCAAAAAAGGGAAAAACTTGAGCAGAGCCACAGAGAGTCCGTAGTTCGTAGTCCAGTTTAAGTAAGTAGGCCAAAGTATAGTAAGTGAAAGCCATTTTTCCCATTTCCCAGCAGACCATCAAAAATGTGTAGCCATGATACATATGTGGCGCTGGGAAAATGTTGCATTGCAATGCAAAACTTTTAATAATGCCGCAAAGAAAAAAGCAGAATAATGGCAAATCCAACGTAGACAAGCTACTGTATACAAAAATGGACAAAACAATATTTGATGCATGACAAATGTGGAGGGAGATTGTGTAGTTTTTCCAAGCAAAACACAAAGGGTGTCATTCAAGCAGGTTAGTCGGGCGTGAAAAGTTTTGCAAAACAACAAAAATATATGTATGTAGATTATTTTTCCCAGGAGATGAGTTGTATCTACAGCATTAATTTCCCATTTCAGATCTTTTGCAATCTATGGGTAATTTTTCTATTTTCCTCCCCCTGTCTCCTAACACCGTGTGGCACTTATAATCCACTTTGGTTTTCCCCACAATTTGTCGCCATCAACATAAATCTAAATCAGCTCTTTCTCTGCACGTGCCACAAACAGATGTGTGAAGCTATCTCTCCCAAAACAAGAAAACCCAAAGCAATCTGTTACAAATTTCCACCTAAACATTTTTATTTATTTCTTGTTTTTTAATTCCTACACAAGTGGGAAAAAAGCAACTTTAAATGGCAGCGTTGTTAATTGGAAATGAAGTGCAATACAGGACGGAGCACAGACAGTCTGAGATCCGCTTGGAATGGCAGGCGGCGTAATGAAAATGGTCACCGACCCATGTAGGTGTTGTGTGTTGCCAAGGTAATTAAATAGGATTTTTCCCCCCCTTTCCATACATACAAACACATTCCCGTGGCACAACACATTAATTTGTATGACTGAATTGTGTCTGGAATTTTTGAGCGATGAAAAAGAGTAAACATTTGGCACACTGCAAAAATTAGCAAGCAAATTGGTAAGCTTTAAGGGAACCCAAGAGAAAATCATACAGTTAAAATCTTTACTTAATTTTAAGCCCTATTACTTTAAATTTATCGTCATAAACTTCAATTACTTTGGTCATATTTTAGTTAAATTACTCCCTGTGTTTTATGTCAGCAATTATGCAATTTTCTAGCCTAGTTTTTGGCTCTGGTTAGTATCCCTGCCTGCTCTCATATACCATGTCCTTTGCCTAATTAGCAAAACAAGTGGAGACGAGAAGCTTTTGCCAAATATTCTGACCCTAAGCATCGCACAAATGTCCTTCTAACCCAGAATGCTGCGACAGCTGGCCAAGCAGACCCTTTACGACATACGGGAACTGGAAACTGGGAACTGGGAACCCAGGAACCCAGGAACCCAAAAGGAGAGTCGAGGAGAAAGTGTAAACCCGAAACCGAGAAACACGACGACTGACAGTCACTTTGACAGTTCGAATGTCGCACGGGTCACGCCCACATTATGTCTGTGTATATTGTACACTGCAAAATATTATGTGGGTGAGATGTGTCTACACCCTTGCACATTTACACCCTTTCAGACGGGGGGCGTATTTCATTTTGGAACCAAAATTTACAACAGTGTCAAGGAGGCAGTTTGGTCTATTTCAATGTGATGTCTAACTTTTCAGTTTGTCATTTACATATTTTATTAAATATTTGTTTACTTTAGGAGGTGCCTTATTTTGGTGTATATTTTAAGTTATTTATTAAAATCTATGTTTAGTTTAACATTAGGTTAAATAAAAAACAAATCATACTTAGATTTGTATTTAATATTAGCAAGCATATTGAGTTATTATTTCGTATAATCTTTTCTTTAGAGGAACTAATATCTATTTGTATTTAATATTAGCAAGCATATTTAATTATTATTTAAACGAACACTTTTCTTTAGAGGAACTAATATCTACCAAAATTAAATACTTATTCCTTTGGACTTTAAGTTAAATTGAATGAAATGTGACTTTGGAATTTTGTTAGAAGGGTTTTTCTTCAATTTAGGTAAATAAAACTGGTTTAGGTATGATTTCAATACTGTTGAATTTTGTATATTATCAAGCTTATTTATCAAGATATTTTTGTATAACTACATTTCTTTAAAAAGAACCAAGAAATATGTTCCAAAACTATATAATAATTTCTAAGAATTTTGTATTAAATTTTTATCTAGAAATGAAGTATTGATTTTGCATCGATAGTTTTATCAATACATAGACATTGTTTTACGATGTGTAATGAGTGATTATATTTTACATTATTTATCAAAGTTAAGATACCAATATCTATCTGTAGAACTTAGTCAGAAGAGTATGTAAGCATTAGCTTTCCACATTTACTCTCCGCCTGCCATTATGTAATTGCGTAGGCGGCTTTTCCACCAAAGGTGGCCAAAGTATCAACTCGAAGCAGTCTGGAAGGACCTAAGAATGGCTTAGGCTCCTTTCCAGGAGCTCATTACCGAATGCCACTGCAGCAGGAGCAGCAGTAGCATCAGTAGCAGCTGCTGTTAAACGCCTTTGAAGTCGATGGCTCAGTGGCCCAAAGGAATGCCAAAGGACTCCAAGGAGCTCCAAGGATCCAAAACGGAGCTCAGCGAAGCCAAATGTGCAGATGTGGATGAACGAAGGTGGTTTTGGCCTCGTAAGTGGGCTTATTTGAATTTATTTGTGGGAATCGCAAAGGCGTCACCGCGTCGCGTTGCCGCAGATCAAAAACAATAATTTACTTGATTTCACTTTCCGTTGGCTGCGTCTCCAATTTCCCCCAGCATAAAGTTCAAAAGGGGGAGTGGCAGGCAACTCAAATTGTGTGGAATTATGTAGTGGAACGGCGGGGATTATTATTATTCGGGTTGAGTCCCCAGGCTAATTGCCAAAGGGCCTCTCTGACTCTGATCCTGACTCTTTGGCATTAGCTAATGAAAAGTTTGCCAATTCAAACAAAACCCTTTAGCCTGCGTTGGCGTTGATAACTTATTTTATTTCACAAAAATTTCAAAGAAACAAAAAACAAAGAAGCAAAAAACAAAGGGAAAAAACGAATTATGTGCCACCTTTTGAGTACCGAAAATTGGCCAAAGTTCAGATTGATATATCGCCCGCAATAAATTCTTTGAAAAATTCAATCGAATTTTTTGTTTTATTCAAAAACTCTGGAAATAACATATGGCTCTATTAGAATTTTTCGCAAATAAAAAAACTCTTCAGCTCGTTGACTGATTTATGGGCGTATGTACAGCAATTTTCTATGCAAAAGTTGAGTTACAAACTTTTTTGCCTGCATTATAAAGATGATAATCCCAGTGACAAGTAGTCCGCTCGTTCCCCCAACCATCTTTTTTCTTGGATTACCAACCTTCTCCATCCAACTGACGTCATTTTGGCCAGAACAATGGAAAAAGCCAGTTGGGCACAAAAAACTCTTCAACATTTACACACAGAAAATTATAGGAATATAATTATGAAAATATTATAAATATTAAATATTTATTTGGGAAATCAATGAGTTTACATTAAGTAAATGATTTTTGAAGGTCATAAAATTATGTTAAAGAATATATTGGTATGTATTTGAAACATTAGTTTATAGAACTTCATTGTTTATACTTTATACATAAATAATGTATTATACGTTTAAATAATTAAATTCGATTTTGGTATAATATTAAATGGTATTTTAAGGACTTTTAAAGAGTTTTTAAAGTTGAGAGTTTTCTTTCACTACTTTCACCTCTTCCCCACATTTCTGTATTTTTTATTTCTTGTCCCAGTGTTCTCATAAATGGAAATTGTTATCATGTAGTTGAGACCATTATATATAAGTAATACTTTTCTCTGTTTCTTTATTACGGATTATGAAAATGAGCATTTTTGCTATTTGCATAATTGATATTTAAAATAGGAACAAGCCGAATAAGAATAGACAGTTTTCCAGGGCAAAAAGAAACTTCGCTTTTGCACCATTAATTGAAAAATAATACGTAAGAGACATACCCACTGGCATTGAAGAATAAAATGAGCATAAGTTGGGTGGAAAGTCCTGGCGTCCGTTGCTCCTCCCGTTGAGCTGCTTGAGGTCCTTCCGTAGGCCACCTACGTGCGGACACATGGCATTCTGTATCTGTGTATCTGTATCTTTTGCCTGGGGTAAAGTGCTTCACGTTTCGAAAAAAAAAATAAAATGGTTAAAGGAGTGGGGAAAAACGGTTCGTCTGGGCGGAGTGAAAAGTTAATGATGTTGCTAGCACTGAGCACACACACATGCATAAATTTTCCCACATTTACGTTTGTAATTAAATTTTGCAACAACTGCCAGAGTAATTGCATTTGCCAGTTACATACAGGCACGTGTCCTATTTGGGGCCCATTTAATATGCAATTAAACGGTTATCGTGGGTCGTCTTGGCCAGAAACAGCATTCCGGAATACACTTGGTAATAAAATTTGCGTTACAATGGCTCTAAAGGTAGTTATATCGATTTTTGGTAAAGTAAGACAGAAATGTGGGTATTAAAATGGAAATTTTTGGGGTTTTTAAGTACTTCATATTGCTATTTAAATTTTAATATCCTTATTAAATCTTCAATAATATTGAAAGGTAGATAGAAATAAACATATTAATCTTCTTAATAA